GGATGTGTTCAAAGTGACACCCTGAGCAGTGAGGAACTCCTTCCAAAAGGAACTGATGAAGATGGGATCTCTGTCACTAGTGATGGAGGCTGGAAAATCATGGAGTTTGAAGACATTATCTAAGAAGATGGGGATGAGGGACTGAGCAGTATAAGGGTGAGCCAAGGGAATAAAATGAGCATGTTTGGTAAGGCGATCAACGATAACGCATATAATTGATTTGCCTCTTGACTTAGGCAAGCCTTCAATGAAATCCATAGTGATGTCTGTCCAAGGAAGGGCAGGAATGGGCAAAGGTTGGAGCAGCCCAGGAGATGCACCAGTGAACAAAGGACACAAAATCATTTCGAATACCCTTCCAATAGAAATAAGTAAGGACCTTCCTCATGGTGGCATGAATACCAGAGTGACCCCCAGAAGGAGTGGAATGCCACAAGGTAAGTATCTGTTGCCTCAAAGCAGTGTTATTCCCCACTAGGAGCTTACCCTTTCGTCTAAGTTGGCCATTTACCCAAGTGAAGTGTTTCTGAGGGTGTGTTGGCAGAGTAGAAATCAAAGTCTGCAACTCTGAATCTGCATACCAACTATCCTGAATAGCTTTCCATAAATCAGTGTGAACAGAAGAAATAAGCATGGACATCAAGGAAGCACCTTGAATTCTAGATAGAGCATCTGCAGTTACATTCTCATTGCCCTTTTTATAATGAATCTCAAAATCAAAATGCAAAAGCCTAGCCATCCACCTAATTTGAGAATCAGTATGGAGCTTTTGTTCCAATAGATATTTAAGGGCCTTCTGGTCAGTTTTGACAATAAAATGCTGGCTGAGCAAATAATGGGACCATTTAGTCACAGCAAAGACCAAAGCAAGTAGCTGCCTCTCATACACAGTCAAAGCAGCATGTCTGGGGGCAAGTCCTTTGCTAATGAAGGCAATGGGATGGTTGTTTTGCATAAGAACAACACCAATGCCAGAACCACTGGCATCAGTCTCAACAACAAATGGTAATGAGTGATTAGGCAAAGCCAAGACTGGTGCAGTAGTGAGGGCTAATTTAAGCTCAACAAAGGCATGTGAAGCAGCTTCAGTCCATAGAAAATTGTCCTTCTTAAGAAAGTCAGTGAGAAGTCGACTAATAAAACCATAGCCTTTGATGAATTTCCTGTAATATCCAGCTAACCCCAGGAAACCCCTTAGTTGCTTAACAGTGGTGGGAATGGGCCATTGTTGCACAGATTCTATCTTAGCTAGATCAGTAGCAACTCCTTGGGCAGAAATAAAATGGCCCAGATATTCCTCACTTGGCACTCCAAAAACACATTTAGATTGTTTGGCTAATAGGCTATTCTGTATCATAAGATCAAAAACCAGCTGCAAGTGAATAAGGTGATCATGCAAGTTCTTACTATAGATAAGAATATCATCAAAGAAGACAAGGACAAATTTCCTGAGAAGGTCCTGCAAAACATGGTTCATTAGACACTGAAAAGTGGAAGGAGCATTGGTCAAGCCAAAAGGCATGACTAAATACTCAGAATGTCCCATGTGTCTTTTGAATTCTGTCTTAGATATATCCTTAGGATCCATTCTGATTTGGTGGTAACCAGATTTGAGATCAATCTTAGAAAAAATAGAAGCCCCTGATAGTTCATCCAACAGATCATCAATAATAGGAATGGGGAATTTGTCCTTAATAGTGTAGTGGTTTAGGTCCCTGTGGTCCACACATAACCTCCAAGTGTTATCTTTCTTTCCTACCACTACCACAGGTGAGGCAAATGGACTGTTACTGTACTGTATGACACCCTGGTGTAACATTTCTTTAACCAACTTCTCAATGATATCCTTCTTCATAGAAAAATATCTATATAGTCTAATGTTAATTGGTTTGGTACCAGGTTGCAAGGGAATCCTGTGGTCGAATGTACCCCTTGCTGGAGGTAATGTAGCAGGTTCTGAAAAGATCTCCTTATAGGTGGTCAATAAGTTTTGAATTGGCTGAGGCAACAGTTCATCACCAGTCAGATGCAAAGCTAGCATAACTCCTTCACTTTCACAAGCAGATGATGGTGCATTAAGCAGTACTTGCAGCATGTATAACTGAGCAGGATCTCCATGGTATCTGTTAACAGCTTTGGAACTAGAAAATTTGCAGTCTTCTGGAACCCCCTTCAAAAGATGTTGCTTGCCTTGGTAGTTAAAGGTCATAGTGAGTGCTGAATAGTCCATGGTGACTGGACCCAAGGTCTTCATCCGTAAGGCTCCCAAAACCAGATCATATCTACCAACACGAAAAACAATAAGGTCAGCTACATAGGTAGTGCCCTCTAACATCCATGTAAAGTCCTTTACCACCCCAGAAGTGGCTTCAAGGGTGTTGTTTCCTAAGCCGACATAGCTTAATTCAGTGGGAGTTATAGAACATCCTAACTTCTTTGCAGCCGCTGAATCTATGAAGTTATGAGTACTACCACCATCTAGGAGAATTTGAATAGGTCGTTAGCACTGTAACCTGTAACATGAATGGTCTGTGCTCCTTGGATACCAGCTAAGGCACATAAGGAAATGTGAGGGTGTTCTTCTTCAACAGCAGGCCACTCCTCAAGGAGTGCCTCAACTTCAGTAGTGGTGTTTCCTTTGTCTGTGGGTGTATCATCATAGTCTTCCAGCTCCAATACAAACAATTGTTTTGGAAGGTTACATTTATGACCTGTAGTGTATTTTTCATCACAAAAATAACACAACCCCTGAGCCCTTTTTGCTTGCATTTCAGCTGGAGAAATAGTCCTCTTCCTAGGCATCACAGCAATGTTAGCAGCAGGTGGTGCTAATCTGGGAGTGTGACTAACTGCTGAATAGGTAGGAGGTTTGGGGCTAGGATTATCATAAGAACTCCTCCTAACACTAGAATAACCAGTGGAAGTATGTCTTTGAGCTCTAGCATTAGCAGCAAGTGTGGCTTCAGCTAATCTAGCTAACCTGCATGTTTTAGCTAAGGTTTTAGGCTCATGCATCATGATAGGATTCGCCAATTCCTCCTTCAGTCCTCAAAGAAAACAAGAGATAGCCTGTTCAACAGTCAAGTTGCACTGAGCTACCAATCTATCAAAGGCAAATTAAAATTCTCTAACAGATCCTGTTTGTTTCAATTGCTTCAGTCCCAGCAATGGATCAGAGAAATCACCACTAAAAGTCTCAATGAGTTCAGCTATGTACTCATCCCACACAGGTAGCATAGGCAAATTCCTACACTTAAGATAAGACTGATGCCAAGCTAATGCTTCATCATCAAGGTTCATAGCTACTAACCTCACTCTCTGATTGAGAGGAGTGTCATCTTCCGCAAAATACTGTTCAATTCTATATAACCACGTTTTCAAATTTTCTCCATTGAATCGAGGAAAAACTAGGTTATGATTACGGTTAGCATTAACACAATAAGGATTTGCTACCCTGACCTAACTGGGACATTTTATCCTTAGCAGCAGATGTAGACGCACTGTCCTTAGATTGTTGACTCAGCTGCAATCCATCAAAGGAGTTTTTAAGAGCGCTCACCATACGTAGAAGTTCATTGTGTCGTTTGTCCTAATCTTCTCTTAATTCCTATTGTTTTTGGGCCAGTTCTACTCGAAGATCTAGCTGTTGAGCTGCTAGATCTTCATACTGCTCCTGCAAGTTCATAGGTGCATTACCCGTTACAACATCCACAGCTCTTCGTGGGCCCATAATTCACCGAGCTCTAATACCAATTGATACCAAATTGAGGTATCACTTCAGCTAATTGAAAGAGAAACACAGAAAATGAAGAGAGAAGAAGGTAGAAAGAAGGGAGAAGAGAAGAGATAGAGCAGAATTTAGAGAAGAACAGAGGGAAACACTGGAATTCAAATATGATATCACACACTTACAATTTGATATTGCTTCCCTATTTATATTGAACTATCTTGCTGAAAATAAAAGAAGAAGGAAATGCCAAATGCGAAAAATGGCTCTAACTAACTTTCCCGCCAAAACTAATTTTCAAAACTAAGCAACTAACTAATTTTCAAATTTTGCAACTGTATTTCAAATATAGCCCATATGTTGTATCAATAGCCAATATGTGTATCACCTTTGGTCCCAAAATGAATGGCAGGTTTGGGATATATATGGATCAGACCCCTACAATTTAGTTTGATTTGTATATTAATTGCTCCACTTTTAAAATTTTAAACTATACATTAAAAATCTACTTAAGAATAATAACTTAAGAGAATTTTTGGCTAATGTATAAGAAAATCATATTCAGACACAATATCATAGTGTTGGGCTTAACCAACTCGAATATATATTTAACATGCTGTGATATTATTCGCTTCGAGCTAAGCCTGCATATTTTTTTCCAAAAGGCCTTACACTATTAAGAGATACTTACATTTTATATGTAGGCTCCCAATAGGCCTGCAACTAGCTTCTTCTTGTGTACAATCTCCAAGCTCGTAAGGGTAAGCAAACCGAGCCCCACACTATCACTCTATCACTTTCATACTCGTCCCGTCAAATCTGGATTTTAATACCAGTTGTTGGGCTCAACCAGCCCGAAGATAGTCTTAATTTGTGTCCTAAAAAAATCTTACACTATTAATAGGTCTCTACACCTTATGCGTAGCCTCCCAATTTTTTAAGTTACTAACATGAGACTTTGTTCATACACCAACGCATGAAAACTTCATTTTTTACTCTACTCCTGCAAAGAGTTGATATGACACAAAACGACATGTCGATAATTATGGACACAAAATCACAATTGACTAAGACAGTAAAGAGAATTGACTTTGGTTCTAATTCAACATATGGGACAATCTTAAAATATTTATCACGTCAACGGACGAGTTAACTAGAGCATAAATAGCATAACATAGGAAACTCAATATTAAGTAACTCAATAGGTCAAGTTCAAACTCTATATTTAAGAAATTTATTAATATATACAAAAATAAAATTTTAGAACCCGAATACTAACATTTTAGAACTTAAAACCCATAACGTTCAAGTCCTGGCTCCGCCGTTGATTTTATAACTAACTCATTAAGAGTTCTTCTAATAAGTCCGCACCCAAATCCTCAAAAACCAAAACTGCTTTCTTCTTCTTCCTATTTCTTCTTCTTTTCACATTTTTCATTTTCATTTTATGTGTTTCCTTTAAAGCAGCAGCTGGAGACAATCCATCTAATAATTGGTTAGAATTCATATTAATATTTTGAAGTGATTCTTGGACTTTTTCCATTGGAAAATTGAGAAATGCTGAAGGACCACGCATTGAAAATGCAGCTTGATCATAAGCTAAAGCAGCTTCTTCAACAGTATCAAATGTCCCTAACCAAACCCTAATTCCATTTCTTGTTGAATCCCTTATTTCTGCTGCATATTTCCCCCATGGCCTTTTTCTAACTCCTATATAATGCTTTTCTTCATCTTTTAATTCCTTTTTGTCTGCTTCTGCGTCTTTTCTCTTGATGGAATATGATGTCACTTCTTCGTCAGCACTACTTCCTTTTGAGGAATTAGTTTCTAAGTATAATGAACTTCTTGGTATCTGATCAAAGATGGTAATTTGTCCTTTTTGACTGAACGGTGGAATTCTTTCACCGTGCTCTACTTCTTTAGTGGGGTGAGAAGGATGGCCAGTTCTGTCTTCTTCGGTCCCTTCTTCGCTACTTCCTTTAGAGGAATTACTCTCTGAGGATGATGAACTTCTTGATATCTGATCAAAGATGCTAACTTGTCCCCTTCGACTGAACGATGGAATTCTTTCCCCACGCTCTACTTCCTTAAGAAGGTGAGAAGGAAGACTAGTTCTGTCTTCTTCGAGCCCTTCTTCGCTACTTCCTTTAGAGGAATTAGTCTCCGAGAATGACGAACTTCTTGGTATCTGATCAACATGGCCATTGATCAGGTCGGAGTATTCAAATTCCCATGGAAATTGATCTTGCAAGAAATCAAAATTTGGGAATTGATCAAGGGATGATATTTCCATCTTTGTTAGGCTTTGGAGTTTCAATACATATGTTGGTGTTTATATATATAAGGACTCATTGGATGAGGACTTGAAAGAGATGGACAGATACATATATATCTAACAATTTTTTCAAGATATTCACCTCTTTTACTCTTGACTTACATCCAATTATCCAAGTCCTCAAGTCTTTTAAGTTTTTTCTTTAATGACATATTTCATGGACAATGAAGGGTGTCATATTCATTTATAATAGTCGGTTGAATTTATTGTTTAGTTTTTCTAGCCAGTATATATAAATTATACAATTACTACAAAAAAAAAAACTTGAATTAGCTGCGAACTCGTCGTTGAATCACACGTAGCTAGCATAATTGTTTACGAAATTGTCGCTAATCTATCGCTAAATCGCTCATAGCTAGCATAATTTCTTAATAATTTGTCGCTAAACGAGATTAGCGACCGATTTTTCTTTTTAGCTACAAAATTTGTTTGTCGCTAAAACTTGAGTTTTTAGTAGTGAATAATTATATGCGATCATACATAGATTATGTATATACATATATGTAACCGGCTATTTTAAGTTTAATCGCTTGGGTAGACGGTTATTCAAATCAAAAATTAATCATAGGGTGAGGTTTAGGGTGGGTAGGGGGTAAACCCAAGGAAAAAAAGACAAATACACCTTGGCAAAAGTTTGTTAATAATAGTACTAGATTGACATCTGCTATGTCCAAGTGGCAAATTTTCAACACTAAAATCTTGAAAATGAAGTCTCATGAATTGTCTAATTAAAGTAGGGCTAATTGATTGAATGCAAATTATGAAATGTCTTATCTCTTAGTATTATTTAAATATATAATTGTAAATTGAAAGGGTCTCAATCTTTCTACAGAAGATAGTTGAAGCACATCGAGAGTGTGAGATTTGCAAGTAAAATGCAGTGCCGAGTTTAAATTTGACAAAAACGGATACAGATAGCTAAAAAACAAAATAATAATTAGAAAAAAAAAAAAAAAAAACAGAAGTTTGTCATTAATATGTGGCAAGTGATATACATATGCTGTGGCAAAACTAGAAATTTTCCCGAGGGTGCTCAGATTTGAAAAAAGTAAAAAAAAATTCCCGACAAAAGGTGTTCTTATATACCTCTGAAACCTATTAATTTACCTATATACACAGTGTAATTTTTTGACGAAGGGTGGTCAATTGACCATCCTTATGACTATGTGGCTTCGCCCATGTACATAAGTATGTATACAACAACAATAATAACAAACCAGGTATACATATGTGTATATGTATATAATGGCGAATTTATCTTATATCTATTGTTCGTGTAAATGAATTTTCTAGCCAAGTGGTCTAATTTATCGTACTAACGTGATTCCATACCGACGTCTTTCCTTTTGTATAGTTTACGACTAAGTGACACCATAACATCAACGTACTTTTCTTTTATTGTAGCATAGGCCTTCGCCGGGCTTTCGTTCCTTCGCCAATAGACGGCGACTTGGCTTTACTATCGCTCATGACTTAACATAGAGCAGTGCCGTTGTCAGTTTTACTACCAGAATATCTATGAGATAGCGGTCGGCCTTTCGAAAGCCTTGTTAATTCCTAACTTTTCTGCTGTAGAAGATTGCTTGTATTATTTTCATGCATATGACATTATTATACAGATTATTAGGTACATCTAATTACATGTAAAAAGTCTTTTTCTTCTCATTGTATAAGAAAAAGAAAAAAATTAAAGAAATCTATGGAAGTCCAAAAGTCAATACTCGTGGGATAAGGTGGAGCACGTGCTCAAGACCGCCACGTAATTTTAAATTTTTATGTCTTGAAACGTCACAATTATCTTCAATGACTTGGACCTTACTGATTATTACTTGAAGATGTGACAACCTTTTTTTAAATAAGTAAATAAATAGACAAAGAAAACTTTTTGCTCTACACTTAGAGGAGTCTTATATTTAAAGACATCGGAAATTAATTAATTAATTAATTAATTTAGGCGGAAGTCCATTCAATATGGTAATCTTATCACGAGAAAGACTTTTGATGTATATCTATCCTTAATTTGAGAGTAATGTATAATTATGATTTCTAGTGTGGAAGATAATCTTAAAGAATTGAAGACTTATTGTTAATTTATGGTTGATTTGATTTGGATTGGATTGAGAAATAAACTTGAAAAACACCATGGATTTTGTTGAGCTTGATTACTGAAGACGATGAAGTGAGTCATTGATTTTCGAAGATTTTTAGATTGAATCTAACCATATGAAATTATTACGATTGATTTTAGAATGTTGAATATCAAATTTAGGAAGACCTTCTAGTGATCCACCAGGACATCTTTTCACTAAACTCTTATAGCTTGTTTGACTATGTTGGAAAATTGACTTATTTTGAAAAGCGTTTTTTTCATAAGTGGTTTTAAAATTTTTTTTTTTTTGGAGAAAAGTAGTTTGTTTATCTAATTAATTTGGAAAACACTTTTGAATAATAATTTGTGTTTGGCCAAAATTTTCAAAATATTATGAATGCGGATCGACATGAAGGATTTTCTTAATATTTAATGTTATATAAATAGTTGAATAATCATAATATTTATTACTAAAGATAATAATTAAGTTTTAAATAAATTGTAAAAATAAAACTAAAAAGTACTTTATTAACATCCTCCTCACATCATTAATTTTTCGAAACAAAACGGGTGTTACTATCAAACAATATTCGAATATCCTCATCATATGTGACTCGCTAAGCTTCTTTGACATTTCTATGGTTGGTCTGGTCATGTCCATGTGACTGTTGTACAAAAAAGAAAATTGTTATCAACCATGTTGACTTTAAAACAGTGAATATAAAAAGGCAGTTTGGTGTTTAAAGTACTGTGGAATTTGGAGGTAACAGCCATGGAAGCCAGCTAGCTTCTTAGAAGAAGAAATGAGAGAGGAGAAAGGATATGCAGTAGCCGACTTTATTGTTTCAATGAAAAAGTTGTATATCAAATCTGTACATTGCCCTCTTATATATAATACTCACTAACTGCTCTAACTAATGACAGCTAATTACAGTTGTACTACTCATTTAACAAATAACTATAATTTGTTATCTCCTAACTGACTAACCACTACACGTGCTCCTCTCGTGCTAAGTTATCCCCTTCTCAACACTCCCTCTCAAGCTGGTAGGTGCATGCACATTGAGAACTCCCAACTTGGACATCAAATGCTCATGTTGTGATCTTGCTAATCCTTTCGTTAATACATCTGCCAACTGTTCCTTGGAGCATATATGCATTGTGTTGACCATCCCCATTTGAATTTTCTCCCTTATGAAAGACAGTCTATTTCAATATGCCTTGTTCTCTCATGAGAATCTGGATTTGCTGCTATCTGCAATGCTCTCTATCATAGTATAAGGCAATAGGCAACTCCACTTCCGCACCAAGTTCCTTAAGCAAACCTGTCAGCCACACCAACTCTGCCATCAGTGAGGCCATGCTTCTATATTGTGCTTCAGCTAAGCTTCTAGACATTGTACTCTGCTTCTTTGCCTTCCAGGATATTAGTTAGTCCCCATGCTTAACGATGAACACTGTCACTGATCTTCTAGTATTTGGACATGAAGCCCAATCTGCATCACAAAATGCAGTTAGAGTATTCTTCTTAGTGTTGCTCATCATAATTCCAAGGCCCGGTTCCCTTTTCACATATCTCACTACCTTGATTGCTGCTTCCCAGTGTGATTTCTTGGGGTTGTGCATGAACTGCCTAAACGTTTGAACAACAAAGACAATATCCAACCTTGTCAAGGTCAAATACAGAAGCTTTCCTACTAGCTTCTGATATCTTTCCCTGTCAGTCAATGGATCATCACCTTCTACTCCTGTATGATCATATCAACTCCTTTGTTGTAAATTTCTGATTGCAATCCATAGGGGTCCAGCTTTGTTTTGCTGCACTCAACCCCAATTCAGATATCAGTTCCAAACTGTACTTCCTCTGATTCATTAGTATCCCTTTGTGTGATCTACAGAATTCAATACCTAGAAAGTATTTCAACTCTCCCAGGTTTGTGATTTTGAAAGACTAATGTAGTTTCTCCTTGGTCTCCTCCATTAACTTTAAATTATTGCCAGTTATGAGCATATCATCTACATATATGAGTATGATCACTATGCGAGTTCCTGGCCTTTTGTGAATAATGAATAGTCAAAATGACTCTACACAAACCCCTGAAGGACCAGTGCTTCAGTGAGTTTAACACCCCATTGTCTACTTGCCTGCTTGAGCCCATATAGGGATTTGACAAGTATGCAAACCTTGCCATCAGTTTTGTTCTCCCCCTGGCTTGCCAATCCCCTAGGCAACTGCCTATACACTTCATCATTCAAATCACCTTGAAGAAAGGCATTGTATACATCCATCTGATGGATGTACCAACCTTTAGATGCCGCAATGGAGACCATATCCCTCACAGTCACTATTTTTACAACAGGAGAGAATGTCTCATTGAAGTCAAGTCCCTCCTTTTGGTTGTACCCCTTTGCCACTAGTCGTGCCTTGAATCTTTCCACATCTCCATTGGCTTTGTACTTCACTTTGTAAACCCATTTACAGCCTATATGAGTTTTCCCTTTGGCAGAGTCACTAAATCCCAAGTCTGATTATCTTCTAGAGCTTGGATTTCAGCTTTCATTGCCTCTACCCATCTCTTGTCCGAAGATACTTGAAGGAATGTTTTTGGTTCTACATTGCTGAAAGTGCTTTCAAATAGTCCTGATATGCTGGCTTTAGTACTTAATAACTCAGGTAGTTACAAATGGAATATGGCTTTGAAGACTTATCTAGAGCTGCTGTAGTGACATAATCTGGCATCCATATTGGTGTCCTCTTGTCTCTATTGGACCTCCTAACAGTTTGATCAGCATGTGTGATCTCATTAGCATCTGCAGCATGTTCTTGTTCCAAGTTGTCTGCACTTGCTGGCTCAGATTCTATAACATCCAAGTGTTCTGCACCTGCTTCTTCCATAGATTGCCAGGAGTTTGTATCTACCTCCTCTAAAGGAATTCCCTCTGAAATGTCTTCTTCTTGTGCAACTACATGATTGTCTGCATTTGTATTGAAGTCTGCTGCTAGTTGCAACTCTATTGGTACTCCAGTTGGCATGAGCTAGTCTGAGACTTCTTAAAACAAATGAAGTTGCTGTCTCTTATGTCTAAAAGGGAAGATTGCTTCATTGAAGGTAACATCCATATTAACAAAGAAACACTGTTTGGTTAGATCATAAATCATATAGCCTTTTGTGACCTCTGAATATCCCATCAATGCAGCTACAATTGCTCTACTTCCAAACTTGTCATTGATGGGCATCTTCTTTGCATGGCACAAGCATCCCATAATTCTAATGTGATCTATGCTGACTTTTCTACCGTGAAAGAATTCAAATGGACTCTTCCCTGTCAAGACTCTAGAAGGTAACCCGTTCATCACATACACTACAACTAATGCACAATGGCCCCAGAAGTTGAGTGGAATACTTCCTTGGGACCTCATAGCCTTTGCAATTTCCAAGATGTGTTTGTGCTTCCTCTCAGCTATCCCATTTTACTGAGGAGTATAGAAACATGTTCTTTGATGAAGGATTCCATAGTTCTAAAACAATATACGACATTGTATATTTACAAACTCTGTTCCATTATCAGTTCTAATGATTTTTACATTTCTGTTGAACTGCATTTGAACAAGTTTAAGGAAATGTCATAGAACTATTATCACATCACTTTTAAGTCTCAATAGATATACCTAAGTCATCCTTGAATGATCATCTGCAATTGTCAAAAATATTTTATTTCCATCAAATGTTTGCACAGCATATGGTCCCCATACATCAATGTGTAACAACTGAAAATTCTCCTCATCTTTATTAGTACTGTCATTGAAAGGCAATCTAGTGTGTTTTGCCAATGGGCAGACATTACAATTTCCTAACTGTTTTGCACTCATCATATGTCAAAGTAAACAAATGTCTTATTGCTTCTATAGAAACATGTCCTAATTTTCTATGCCATAGCTCAATGTCCTGACTTTTCAGCTAGTCCCAACAATGCAATCCTCTTCCTTTCAGCAGAAGATTGAGGAAGCAAGTAGAGTCCTCTCCTTTCTCTACCAATCCCCTTCACCTTCCCACTGCAAATGTCCTGGAAGATGCAAAAATTAGGGTAGAACCCAACACAACATCTTAGAGCTCTGGTGATCTTAGATACTGACAAGAGATTATATCTAAAATCAGGTATGTACAAAACATTATCAAGTCTTTCTGTGTTCATCATATTACAGGACCATATATGAGTGATAATAGATGATAATTATGTAATTTAGATACTATTTACACTCCAATTTGGCCGCACTTTATCTATGTCCGAATGTAAAAGATAACAAAATACTCTAATTAAAAGTTTTAAGTTTTGCAGGAGCCACTCCGAGCTAGGAGGAAGCTAAAGAGTGTTTTGGAGTCAATATGGAGCGTGGAAGGCCAATCGGAGGATAGCTCGATCGAAAAAGAGAAAGAAAGCAAGTTCCAGCTCCGTGGTCCAATCCGCGGCCGCGGACAGGCTGGCGGGAGCTAAGAACCCAGGGTCAATTATGTAATTTTCAGGGCGACTAACCTAAATCTATATGAAGCCTAATTCTCCCAAAAGAGAAGGATAGCTATTTTTAGAGAGAATTTGAAGGCAAGAATACGGAAGAAAGACGGAGGATTTCCTTAGAGTTTTTATCTTCTTCTTTTTAATTCCATTGTTGAGTATGACTTTATTTAGTGAATTTTTATCTCTTAGTATGAGTAGCTAAACCCATCATCTAGGGTTGATGGAACCAATTGTTGGATGAAGTCTTGACTCTGTTTTGATATAATTGAGCCGTATTTACTCCATGATTGTTCAACTACGTGTTGTCTTGTGATTAATCGAAAGGGCCCTTGATTAATCGTGTCTAGTTAGCTTGTGTTGCTTGAGAAAGAACACTTGGTTAGATTGTTGTTGTACAACACCACTTTCGCGTAAGTTAAGAGATTAATTACTTAAGTTTATAATCAGGGTTAGAGATAACGAAGCTTTGGTGGGATAATTCTGAGTTGAATAAATTGTTAACTAGAGTAGTTCGAAAGAATGCTTCTAGTAAATTATCGTAATTGATCGAGAGATAATTGTGGTAATCCAAAACTCATATTTATTATAGAGTGTTTCGACGAGATTATAGCTAACCTGTCAGGAATTAATCCGACAATTGGGGAAATCAATAATCCTAGACCATTTTACCATTGAATTCAACTCTATTCTTGATTGTTGCTAGTTTTGTTGTTATTTTTCCTTAGTTAACTAAATTCTACTCATTGTTTATTAAAAATCTTGCATCCGGGATTCGTTTGAACTTGTCATTAGCAGTGTTAAAAGTTGTAGTAAATAGGTTAGTTCCCTATGTGATTTGACTCCGGACTAAATCAGATTATATATTTGCAGTGACCGCTTAGTCCTTTTTATAAGGCATAGTTGGGCGTGATCAAATTTTGGCGCTGTTGTCGGGGAACTAATGGTGTTATTCATTGCAACTTGGAAGAATTGCTAGGATTTCTAGTTTAGATCAATTTTCTGCGGTGTTAAAAATATTTCCATTGAAATTCTCACATTTGAACTCTTCTGTGACTCAAGTGCATGCCTATAAGCTCTTTAAGAACTGGTGAACTCTTTGAAGGACTCTCAGATCTAGAGAAAGCATTCCAGACGTTGAACCGGGCTATTAAGAAGAGCAAACAGCTGAAACAAAACGAACAAATTGAAATTGAAATAGATGACATAAACAACGTCAACTAGAACAACATGAATGATTGAGATGACCCAAATGTTAGAGTGGTAGCACCTCTTGTGCCGGAAGCTGCTCTTTATGATTGGACGCAACCAATTGCTGATAACCTGGCCACAACAATTGCGGTTCCTCCCATACAAGCGGAGACATTCTAGATTACCAACAACATGTTGCACCCATTGTAGAATAAAGGGCTGTTCTCGGGGTCATACATCAAAGACCCACAACAACATCTGAAGAACTTTCTATCAATATGTGTCACTCAAAGACAACCGAATGTGACTCCTGAGGCATTTAAATTATTACTGTTTCCATTCTCAATGACCGCGGAGGCCCAAACATAGCTGAATTCGCTCCCAATAAAATCCATTGCTACTTGGGAGGAACTAGTCAAACAGTTCTTAAACAAATTTTATCCACCCAACAAAACTGCAAGGCAGATTGATGATATATTGCTTACCTATGTAAAAACCGGCTGAGACTTTGCAAGAGACTTAGGAGAGGTTTAAGGGTATATTGGTGAAGTGTCCTCACCATGAAATTTCGGATTAGATGCTGGGATAGAGGTTCTATATAGGTTTGGCTGACAGTCTGAAGGCCAATGTAGATGTTTTTGCCGGGGGGTGCATTCTTGAGCAAAACCTTCACATAGTGTAAGATTCTTCTTGACAAGATGTCTCAAAATTCAGGCTGGATGACTAGAGACACAACACTTACTCCAATAGTGCATTATGTCGCTTTTGACCCAAACAACACAAATGCAGAAAACATTGCCACTCCTGTCTACTCCAGCTACCCCAGTTACATTAAAATAGATAAGTCAACAGAGCTCACCGAGGTTGTAATCGAGCAAGCGCAGGTTGACAAGGGTAAGGAGAAGGAAGGTGAAAAACTCCCAAAATAGGTAGTAGAAAAAGCTTCCAGCAAAGAAAAGACACAAAGCGGTGGGTAGAGGTTGATTCCTGCACCATTCCCTCAGAGGTTGGCAAAGCAAAAGAAAGATGATCAATACAGGAAATTCATGGAAATGCTCAGACAAATTCAATTGAATATTCCATTGATGGATGCTTTGAGGGAAATTCCAGGGTATGCAAAAATGATGAAGACCTGATGTCGCAAAAATTTGACTTCCAAAACCTGTCCACTATAACTCTCATGCAGACCTGCAGTGCGGTAGTGATAAGGCTTATGGCTCAAAAGGTGTCTGATCATTCCATGCACCATTAGGAGTTATGCTTTTGCTAAAGCATTGTGTAACTTGGGAGCCAGTATAAATTTGATGCCCTTGGCAATCTATACAAAACTGGGCATTGGCAGAGCTAGACCGACCTCAATGTTGCTGCAACTGGCTGATTGCACAGTCAAAAGACCGATAGGAATTCTTGATGATGTGCTTGTTCAAGTGGGGAAATTGTATTCCCTGCAGACTTCGCATTCTTGACTGTCAAATGGATGAAGAGATACCAATCATTCTGGGCAGGCTGTTTTTAGCCATTGGGAGGTTATTGATTGATAGTGAGACTGGAGAACTGAAAATGAGGTTGAACAATGAAGAGATAATATTCAATGTTCAACAATCTATGAGGATACCCAGCAAATTTGCAAATTTCTCACTAGTGGAGGCCGTAGATGTAATACTACATGAGGAGGATGAGACTATTAATGTCAGGGATACGTTGGAAGCCTGCATGATGAATCTGGAAAATGTGGATGGTGAGGTGTTGGTAGAGTGGGTCATGGCTCTTGAAGGTCAAGAGTTCTGGAAAAGGGAACCTGAGTTCGAGCCCCTACACTTAGAAGAAAGAAAAACACCACTTGCGAAACCATCGATAGAGGAGCCACCGCAGTTGGACCTAAAACCACTTCCAGCACATCTCAGGTATGCTTTCTCAGGGCCTAGATCTACTTAACTTGTTATTATATCATCCGGTTTGCTAGCTGTGCAGGTAGAGAAACTCTTACAGGTGTTTCAAGAATGTAAGACTGCTATTGGTTGGACCATGGCATACATAAAAGGTATCAACCCAACTTTTTGTATGCACAAGATTCTCTTGGAAGAAGGGCACAAACCTTCCAGAGAACATCAACGAAGGCTGAACCCGAATATGAAAGAGGTGGTGAAGAAGGAAGTGATCAAATGGTTAGATGCGGTATCATCTTCCCCATCTCTGACAGCAATTGGGTCAGCCCTGTTCAGTGTGTGCCGAAGAAGGGAGGAATGATGGTCGTACAAAATGAGAATAACAAGTTGATCTCGACTCGTACTTTCACAGGATGGCGGATTTGCATGGATTATTGTAAATTGAACACAGCCACCCGAAATGACCGTTTTCCCTTACCATTCATTGACCAAATGCTAGACAGGTTGGCTGGGCGATCTCACTTCCGTTCTTGGATGGATATTTCGGGGTACAATCAGATCTCAATAGCCCCCGTAAATAGAGATAAAACATCATTCACCTATCTGTATGGTTGCCTTTCAGAGAATGCCTTTTGGACTTTGCAATGCACTGGCTACATTCCAGCGGTGTATGTTAGCCATTTTCACGGACATGGTTGAAGACATTATGGAGGTATTTATGGATGATTTCTCCGTGGTGGGAGATTCATTTGAGGACTATCTTAAAAATTTAAGAAGAGTGCTCAGAAGATTTATGGAGACAAACTTAGGGATGAATTGGGAGAAGTGCCATTTTATGGTACAAGAAGGGATAGTCTTGGGGCATCGAGTGACGAGAAAAGGAATTGAGGTTGACCATGCTAAGGTTGACGTGATTGAGAAGTTTCCACCACCCACTTCGGTCAAGGTAGTGAGAAGTTTCCTTGGGCACGTCGGATTCTACAGGCGATTCATAAAAGATTTCTCTAAGATTGCTAAACCTTTATGCAAATTAGCCCTTTGTGTTTTCTAATGATTACAAGTTAGCATTTGAGGAGATGAAGAGAAGATTGGTGACTGCACCCATCATTGTTACACCCAACTAGGAGCAACAGTTTGAGCTCATGTGCGACGCAAGCGACAATGCTATAGGAGCAGTCTTGGGGAAGCGAAAGTATAAGCTGATGCACCCAATTTATTATGCAAGTAGAACGTTAAGCAGTGCACAACTCAATTACACTGTTACAGAAAAGGATATGTTGGCTATAGCTTTTGCATTCGACAAATTCAGGTCGTACTTGACTGGTTCAAAAGTTATTGTTTATACTTACCATGCAGTAATTAGGTACTTGATAGCAAAGAAGGAGTAAAAGCCACGCTTGATCTGCTGGGTTCTTTTGCTACAAGAATTCAATTTGGAGATCCATGACAGAAAAGGGACAAAAGAACCAGGTAGCAGACCACCTATCAAGGTTGGAAGGAGCGCAGTGACAATGGAGAAGATACCATGATATGCTGATATTGCTAATTATTTAGCAAGCGGTATTGTACCTTATGAACTATCTTCAATTTAGAAGAAAAAGTTCTTTCGCGCTTGTTGGTTTTATTATTGGGATGAACCTCTACTTTTTAAAAACGTGTAGATAACATGATCCGGAGGTGTATCCTCGAGAAAGATCAACCTTCTATTTTGTAGGCTTTCCATGCTTCACCATATAGTGGATACTTTGGAGGGATTAGGACAGCAGCTAAGGTGTTGGAATCGGGTTTGTATTGGCCAACCCTATTCAAGGATGCCCATGCTTGGGTGAAAACCTACGATGAGTGCCAAAGGAGAGGCAACATATCTCAACGTCACGAGATGTCGATGACTACTATTTAAGAGGTGGAGGTATTTGACATATGGGGGATTGACTTTATGGGGCCATTCGTCAGCTCGTATGGTAACAAATACATACTGGTGGCAGTTGACTATGTCTCCAAATGAGTTGAAGCTGTGGCTCTTCGAACCAATGAAACAAAGGGGGTGACAGGCTTTTTAAAGAAAAACATATTCACAAGTTTTGGCACCCCGAGAGCTATAATCAGTGATGGTGGAACCCATTTTTGCAATAGAGCGTGCCCACGGTTGTTGGAAAAGTATGGACTTCGCCATATGGTGACCACCCCTTATCACCCACAGTCAAGCGGACAAGGTGAAGTGTCAAACCAGGAAATCAAAAGTGTCCTTACCAAGACAGTAAATGCAGCAAGGAATGATTGGACGAACAAGCTGGATGATGCATTATGGGCGTACCGCACAATATTTAAAACTTCAATTGGTATGTCACCATATAAGTTGGTGTTTGAAAAAGCATGCCACCTCCCGGTAGAGCTCGAGCATAAAGCCCTTTGGGCATTACGGCAGTTGAATTTTGATATGGAGACCGCAGGAACCAGTAGAGTCACCGGGTTACATGAACTCGAGGAATTCAGGTTCCATGCAATTGAGAATGCAAGATTGTACAAAGAAATTGTAGTTTATTTTTGAACGAAAACAATATTGATCGATCTACTAAGTTGCAGGAACGAAGGTATGCGTAGTGGAAAGACTCGGGGTGCGAAACTATCCCGGAGATGGGCAAAAATGCAAAAAAGCAAAAAAAAAAACAATCTGGATGCCTAATCTGTGGCCGCAGATTTGAACACGGATCGACAACAGATTGTGTAGATGTTCTGTCCGCGGCCGCGGATCTGACCGCGGATCCGACCGCGGAATTGGCGCCGTTCAGGTGTAATTTTTTTTCTTTTCTCTTGTCCCCTTTTAATTAAGTTTTTTATTAACTCCCCCCCCCCTCATCCGCCCACTCCCTCACTCTTTTCCCCTCCATCTTCTTCTCCCCAAGTTTTTCTCACTTAACAAAAATCTTCTCCCCTTCTCCCTCTTCTCCACTCCACCACTACCCAAGTTCCATTCCTCACAAGATTTTCAAGTAAGTACATGCTTCTACTTTCTCTTTCTAGTTTTTTTTTGTTTTTTTCGATTTTTTTCCATTCTTTTTCTCTTCAATTGTAAGTGTAGGAAAATAGAAGAATGGGTATTCTTATCTTTGTATTGTTTGTTGGTATATATGTTGGTATGTGAGGACATTAGGTTTTGTTGGGGTTGGAAAGACATTGTTGAGTTGTGAAGATGGAAGTTTAATTGGGTCTTTGGGTACATTGGGGGGCCTTTGCACAGTAGATGTTTGTTGAATTGCCTCAATGAGATTTTTAGTATAAATTGTGTCCAATGGTGCGGGTGAAGTCTGAGTAACCGCCCCTGGTTCACCTATTCCGCTGATTATTGATAGTGGTGGTTGTTGTGTAGGTATAATGAGATCTTCAAATAAGAGACGCACTACTGCCTCATCAAGTGGTCATGGAGGCTCGTCCCGGGCACGGGCATTAGCCAGTTCGGCTCAGTTTGATCGCACCAGGTTTGTCTCCAGAGCTGCCCAAGACCGTTTCGGTTGGAAGGCTATTAGAAAGTCTGTACCGGAAAGGGGAAATGACAGAGGATCCCTCCAGGCTGAATGCCCCAATATGTATAGGGAGTTGACTAGGCAGAGGCTAGATATCTTCCTCGAAGAGCCGGAGGATGGTAACTTGATGCTTGTTAGGAAATTCTATGCCAACTGCTCTGAACTTGAGGATCATATCTGCACTGTGCGACAAAAGAGGGTGAATGCCTCGATAGAAGCAATCAGAAGAGTGTATCGCTTGCCGGCATTTACCAGGGATGTGGATTACTATGATACTTACAAGCGAGAACCGACAAATTGGAAATTGTTTTTCATAACTATCTGTGCCCCAGACAAAGAGGTAGTGTGGGTTGTACCGGGATCGAAGTTGCACTAATCTTCACTCACCTTTGAAGGAAAGTGTTGGTTGTACGTCATTAGTAGTTGACTGTTGCCATCCCACAACACCACTGAGGTAAATGGTCCGAGAGTTGCTTTGATCTGGTGCTTTGTGAATGGCTAAGATTTTGATGTAGCCAAGCTTATTCATTCTGAGATGTTCATCCGTTCAACACTGCAGAGGTATGGGTTCTACTTCCCATCTCTGGTCACTAGATTGTGTCAGTCTGTAGGGGTGCCAGAGAACCCCAATGTGGATGGCAAGATGAAGATAGAAACAAAGTACCGGGCATCCAAAGTGACCATTGGTAAAGACACAGTGGCACCCGGTTCACCTGATAGTGCGGATTCTAAGGTGTCAAAGGAGAGCGATGAAGAGGAAGAGGAAATTGGGCCTTCTTCAACCCCACTGGAACAAGCTTGGCCATCTTCACCCGCACAAGAACAAGTAGCCGCGATTGAAGGTTCATCTGTAGTCAGATGGAGTACGCGGATGACAGCCTTAGAACAGGAAATGGCAGGGCTGCGCACTTCCGTCACGGAGTTGGGGACTAGAGTTGATGCTTTAGCCACCCGAAATGCGAAGTCGGAGAAAAAAATCATGGGTTGGCTTCATGCACTGGGGAGAGCGTGTCATCTCGACCCCAGCCCTATCTCCGATCAAGACTGATCCTCCAAGGAAGTTCCTTTATCTCGCATTACTTTATCTTGTATGACATGGAGACATGCCATCATTTTAAGTGTGGGGTAGGGGATACTTTGTGGTATTTTGTATGTAGAATAATTTTGTAGTTTATTTACATAAATCATTTTCGACTTGTCCCGACGATGGATATCATTCGACGAATTTCTTGAGGGACTAAAGTCGATGGAAAAAAAACACAAAAACATTTTCTTTTGTAGTAGTGTATCAATTTCCCCTTGGTTTTTCTATAAGCCATGGTTCTTTTCCAACGGTTTCATTTGAACTAGGTGTAGTTAGTTTTTTTTATTGTTGTTAATAGGAAGCTATGGGCTATGGGCGGAAATAGGCATAGGATCTCTTAAGGTCGGAATGCCTTGATTATAGTGGGTACTTTAGTGTGAGACTTAAGCTCAGTTGTCGACTCTTGTAAGAATGCCTTAAACTGTATGTTCTTAATTTGGCTTAAGTACCCCGATCAGACTGTTTGATGACCCAATCTGGAGTGATTCATGTGCCATGTGTGTGTGAGGCTTGTTGTATTCTATGCACGACATTTGATGCCAAGAACTTGCCCTACGTGTATGCAAAGCGCAATAGTAGTCTTGTTTAGTCTGGGAAGTGATATAGTCATTTCTTTGTTGAACCATATATATACTTCATCCACCCATTTGTTATGTATCATAGTTAACCCCGTCGAGCCTGTAATCCTGTTTCTTTGGCAACCACACTACAATCCTTACCCATTTGTTTTTAAACCTTTTCACCTCTCATGAGTACTTGAATTGTATGAACTTTGTACAAGTTTAAGTGTGGGGGTGATTGGTTTGGCTTTTAAGTGGAACTAATGAGATAAGGAGAAAGGTGCATTGTTTTGAAAAAGTAAGAGTCACTTCAATTGATTTTTTTTATAAATAGTTGGATTGTTGTGAAAAATATTCCTTGCTAAGTGGTGGCTCTTAATATAATTGTGCTTAACGAAGAAGGGAGTTAATATATAGTGATGTGAAGGTGGAGCCATGGTTTGACATAAGTGTGAGGTTTTGAATGTTAACGTACATGTATTAAAGTGCTTAGGAAGGTGTAGCCTCGTATATCTAAATGTATCCTACCCGTCCCGCAACCTACATTACAACCAAAAAGCCCTACTTGATCCTAGATTGAATGAGCTCGATTAGTAGAGTAGTACATTACGAGAAAGCCTATGGTGCATCTTTTGTGGCATATGAATGTCATTTCTGAGGGTGAGTGAATTCTGTTTATATTGAAGTTCCTCAGTGTGTGTGCATTTTATTGATTGTGGAGTGAGTCTCTTTTGTTGTGAGCAGGCACTTGATTCATGAAGGAGAGGTAAGTTTGGACCTCTGAGTTAGAGTAAGTAAGCCGGTGAGGAATATTGCGTGGCTCACGGGAGTCAACTCTTGAGGTGTGGATGTTACACTAATGAACTCAATCTATGAGGAATATTTTTGGTGTGACGAGTTAGGAAGTCGCTCAGGGGAAGTTAGGCCTCTATAGAGTGTGGTTTGGTTGCTCGAGGACGAGCAAAGGTTTAAGTGTGGGGTGTTGATAGTAGACGATAATTATGCAATTTAGATACTATTTACACTCCAATTTGGCCGCACTTTATCAATATTTGAATGTAAAAGATAAAAATATGCTCTAATTAAGAGTTTTACGTTTTGCTGGAGCCACTCCGAGCTAGGAGGAAGCTAAAGAGTGTATTGGAGTCAATATGGAGCTTAGAAGGCCAATTAGAGGATAGCTCGGGCGAAAAGGTGAAAGAAGAGCAAGTTCCAGCTCCGCGGTCAGATCCGCGGCCGTAGATAGAACAATTGTAAAATTCGCGGTCCATTCGCGGCCGCAGACGCGCTGACGGGAGCCAAGAACCTAGGGTCAATTATGTAATTTCTAGGGCGATAAACCTAAACCTATATAAAGCCTAATTTGTCCAAAAGAGAAGGATAACTGTTTTTAGAGAGAATTTTAAGGCAAGAACACAGAAGAAAGAAGGAGAATTTCCTTAGAGTTTTTATGTTCTTTTTAATTCCATTGTCGAATATGACTTTATTTAGTGAATTGTTTCCCTTAGTATGAGTAGCTAAACCCGTCATCTAGGGTTGATGGAACCAATTGTTGGATGAAGTTTTGACTCTTTTTTTTATATAATTGAGCCGTATTTACTCCATGATTGTTCAAGTACATGTTGTCTTGTGATTAATTGAAAGGGCCCTTGATTAATCGTGTCTAGTTACCTTGTGTTGCTTGAGAAAGAGCACTTGGTTAGATTGTTGTTGAAAAACACCATTTTCGAGTAAGTTAAGAGATTAATTACTTGAATTTAAAAGCAGTATTAGAGATAACGAAGCTTTGGTGGGATAATTCTGAGTTGCATAAATTGTTAACTAGAGTAGTTCGAGAGAATGCTTCTAGTAAATTATCGTAATTGATCGAGAGATAATTGCGGGAACCCAGAACTCATATTTTTTATAGAGGGTTAGGGCGAGATTATAGCTAACGTGTCAGGAATTAATCCGACAATTGGAAAAATCAATAACCCTAGACCATTTTACCATTGAATTCAACTCTATTCTTGATTGTTGCTAGTTTTGTTGTTATTTTTTCGTAGTTAACTAAATTCTACTCATTGTCTATTAAAAATCTTGCATCCGGGAATTGTTTGAACTTGTCATTAGCAGTGTTAAAAGTTGTTGTAAATAGGTTAGTTCCCTGTGGGATTCGACTCCGTACTGAACCAGATTATATATTTGCAGCGACTGCTTAGTCCTTTTTATATGGCATAGTTGGGCGTGGTCAATAAGTTACATGTGCGATTCCTCCATTAGCTAGATGTACCTTTTTGGAGTTATTTTGATCAACTTCCAACCAATTCTTAAATAGTTCTAGGTCTGACATCATGTGGTTTGTTGCTCCAGTCTCTATGGTCCATTCATCAGTATATTCATT